AGGAATGGATTAGAGAGAAAATTTCATAAGGAAGAAAGGGAGCAGGTGTGGTCTGCAATGAAAGAAATTGTTCCAAGAATAAGTGTAGAGTATAACATCATAAAATTGCAAGAAGTCTACTGAAATCCTCAAATCCAGTGTCCTGCTATTGTAAATGGCTGCACTGTGCAGTTGATTTCATAAAACGTTCCTTTTCTTACTTTTCCTTCCAGTTTGAAGTTCCAGAATCAATTGAGAGTTCTGTTCTGCCAACCTTGTGTTTTTTCAAACATGTAGTTCAGGTAACTAGATCTAGATGCTGGACTGTATGTTTAACTCTTCCGTGAAGTGAAGCTTCAACCAAGAACTGTAGTTGATGCCTGATTTTTGAGAAATTCCTTGGAAATACTGCTTTAATTTCTACTGAAAGTATAGACTAAGTAGCAAACTTTATTCTTCTTAATAAAAGATCATGAAGTTTCTGAAGACTTTTTCTTCTTCATTAAAGACAGGGTGCTGTGGTTTGCCTACTGAGAAAAGTCCGTAAGCCATTGTTTCTGTGAAAACTTGTGTGTGTGATTCAGGAGCAAAATTTGGCATCCTTTGAGATTTTTCTCTCCTTCGTTGACACAAGATATTGCTTAACAATGTGCTTCTGAGTAATTTCATTATGCAATACAATTTTAAATGCTTGAAAATGTAGTTTTAATCTTATCTCAGTCTTTTGCTTTCTGATTTCTGAACTTCTGGGAGCTTCTCACAAATTTTGGAGTGAGTGGTTTTTCACCGTATATAAACTTTATGTAGAGGCTTTAAAATAATCCTGTTCAGAATTTGAAAGAACATTCAATTAGTATACAATTAATTTTCTACACTAGCATTTTTTCTGAACCTTTATTTCTAGATTGGAAAGAAATTCTTTTAAAATTAAACTAACTCAATGCTACACAGTAGAATAATGTCAAAAGGCCGTATGCATACGTCTGTTTCTTAATAGGGGTGTGTTATTGTTTCAGGTTTTGGCAGATAAACACGGTAATGCCTTGTGGTTGAATGAGAGAGAGTGCTCCATTCAAAGGAGAAACCAGAAAGTTGTGGAGGAAGCACCAAGGTATGTATACTAGGCTCTGGTTGCAGCTTCATAGTTACTGAAAGCACTTGTGCAAAGCTGCTGGTTTTATTTATTGTATAAATGCAAGCAAATTTTGTTCTATTAAAAACCACAAAGAAGATAAAAAAAAAAATTGACGTTACAGTCATTTGGCTGTAATGCAATTTTGATGCTGTTTTTGAGGTTATTTTGATGTTGCTTCATGATGCATTTTCTGTAAGAAAGCAGGTGTTGTGGTGTTAATTTTTTCATGCTCTTGTGTAAAATGGAAATGTATCTTACTGATCAAGCATATGTGGTATAAGAGATGGCTTTCTTAATGTATCTGAGGTATTTTTCCTTTTCTTTGCCGTGCGAATTTTGGATTTAAGAGGAAAATAAAATATGGAACGAGTGTTCACTTTGCCACAAATACAGGTATTTGACTATGTTGTAGTAATTTGTGAGAGGGCCAGATCATACTGTTTATTTCTGTTTGAAATGGAACATGACGTACTAACTACTCTGTGCCACTTTTAGTAGCATTCATGGTAGTGAACTATAGACGTAGGTGTCCAGTAACTCAAATGTACTAAATGATCTTAATCCTGCTGATTTCAAATGCAGCTGAAATACATTGCTGCTGTGCAAGGTATAGTCTCGCTGTGTTTTCTGTTGCATGCTATTTGTCAGAGGACATGCGTAGAATAAAGGGCAGAAGGAAATTCTGATTTCAGAAAACCAAACAGAGATAGATCACTACTCATGGGAATTCCCAGTGTAATGTGTTCACCAGCTGGGATGGTTTTGCCATTATTTTATAGCACAGAACTCTGTGATGCAACAATTTTGGATGTGAGGAAAAGCATATAATTTAAATTACATTTGTTTATATGCAGCAGATAAATTAGTGTTGGATCATAGTTGTGAGACTGGCACTGTTTACGACCTATGTTTTAAATTAAAAAACAAAGATTTAACTCTAGGAATACAAAGCCACTAATAAATGTTTTAATAGCTGTTACTGCTTCCTGTAGTGCTTGTGGATTTCTCAGAAGCCTTATGCCTAAAGATCTTACTATATTTATGTTTGGGACGTGACGGTTTGGGTCCGGATATAATGTACATGTACAGATACGTATACCTAAGCGCTTAAGAGAGGAAAGTCTTTTGTCTCAGGAGTACAGGTAAGGCTTTGCCTCCACTACCACCTGCTCATTCTCCATGCCTATGGTCAGTTTTAGGGAGTGATAACGTCTTTCTTGCACCAGCCAACTGTGATCGGAGTGTTTTCTTTCATCAGAAATACCAGCCTTTTAACTTTCATCGGCTTCTCTGTTGGAGTCGCCAGTACGTTTTCTCATCCCTTCCTGTAATGCTAAAGAAGAGCGTGAGCAAGTCAATAGCTTCCAAATTTTGGTGTTAAAACTCTTCTTCCTTCTTGTCGTTGAATGTCGTAGACTCTGCCAGACTTTTACTGACAGCTTTGGAAGGCTTATCTGCCTTACAGCCACTTCGCTTTATTTACGAAGGGTTACAAGACTGTTGCGGATAAGCAGGGCAGTAACTTCTGTGAGACATGGTAGGGACCCAAAAACCTGAAGTTTATCCCTTCCTGTGAATGCTGTTTCAGTTAGTCTTATTGATTAACAACTCCTGCAAACACCTTTTCTTGTATGGCTGGGTGGAGGAAATGTGGACTCCTCAGTAGTCCTTGTGGGTTTTTTTTTTTTTCCCCCCTCCTGTTTTAAATGGTAGCTACCACTAAGAGCTCTGAGGTAGGTTGAAGCTTTATTTATTTATTTTTTTCTTTCCATGAAGCCCAGGAGATAAGCATTTTAGCCCATAGCATCCCTATTTGTCTTTTGTACAGTTTAGGGCTTTTGAGTTTGGCCTCTTCTAAAGCCTCTCTTGATTTACTTTTTTCCTATGATGATGTTTTCTTAAGTATCTAGTTTAAGAGACTGATTGTTGAAGGCTTTTTGGATTTGAGAATAATCTCTATGATTTTCTTAAGTCTGCAGCTGTTGCACTTAGCCTTATGGGATTATTTTGTGTTTGAGTGTCCAATTTTCATAGGCAAGTTCAGTCTCTTGTTAAAAAATCTCTCCTTTGAGGAGAGAAAGCTCTTTAGTTCACACCCTGATGAGGTTACAGTATTAAAGGGGGCCCTAATGTTCAATGGTCAATCCCCCAGTTTCAAATAGGAGACCAACAAACATTGCTTACACCCTTTCAATGTATTCAGTTGTCCTACTCTCTTTGTTCTGGGAAACACAGACAATAACACACATCTGGTCATTGACAGTTTTTTAGGTAGTGCTGGGCACAATTGGTACTCTGCACAACTTCCAGAGGTTTAGAGTAGTTTTCTTTGCTTCTAGCTTCATGCCTTTTTGGAAGATGATGTTGGCTTCTCATTTCACCATAGAGGCTGAAATTTAAACAGATGAGAAACATTTAATAGTTGTTTGTTCTTTAGTTCAGGTTTTGTTCCTCCTCTGCCCAAACTCTTCTCTATCTCTTCTCTATCCATCTTCAGGGACAGTTGCTGTGAGACAGTGTAGTTTGGCAAGAAAAAATGCCAGGATGTGGTTGTATTTTCTTGTTTTATAGCATGATTAATAGGGGATTCTTCCCCATGTGGAAGAACAAGGCCCATAAGCTTATCAGAAAATCAATTGATCCTTCAGGATCAATCTAAAGTAAATGGATGAATGGAAAGTAAATATACAAGGGTCCTCACTGACTTCCTGTTCAGTAACTGGAGCTCAATGGAGTCCTATCCTTCACTTTGGTGAGAACAGGTGTCCTATCTAACCATTTCAGAACCTGTTTGAAGCTTTTTAAGGCACTTCAACTTTTGCCTCACCGCTCAGGGGAAGGAATGTCCAGCTGTTCAGAGGCGCTTGGCTATCTGTACTATTTCATGCCCAAAGTTAAGATTTTGGAATGTCATTATGGAGAAGTGCCATACAAAGGTCCTTCCGCTCACCATGATCATCCAGCACAATCCTCTGCTGTAGGAGTAAAAGAGATTAGCCTTTGATCCTCTGTGGACCATTTAGAAGCATAGAATCACTTAAGTTGGAAAAGACCTTGAGATCATGGAGTCCAACTGTAAACCGAACACTGCCAAGTCCACCACTAAACCGTGTCCCTAAGCACCTTGCCCTCATGTCTCTGAAATACCTCCAGGGATGGCGACTCAACCACCTCCCTCGGCAGCCCCTTCCAATACCTGACAACCCTTCTGATGAAGAAGTTTTTCATAATACCCCATCTAAACCTCCCCCGGCACAACTTGAGGCCATTTCCTCTTGTCCTGCCGCTTTTTGCTTGGGAGAAGAGACCAACCCCTAGCTCTCTGCAACCTCCTTTCAGGTAGTTGTAGAGAGCAGTAGGGTCACCCCTCAGCCTCCTCTTCTCCAGGATAAACACCCTCAAGTCCCTCAGCTGCAACTCACAGGGCTTGTGCTCCCAATCCTTCCCCAGCTCCGTTGCCCTTCTCTGGACACGCTCCAGCACCTCAGTGTCTTTCTTGCAGTGAGGAGCCCAAAACTGAACACAGGATTGGAGGTGTGGTTTCTAAGTATCATATTTCAAAAAGCTGAGCTTCAGGACACTATGTGTTAAACCTTCTCTCCACATATTCAGGCCTTTCGTGGACAAGTAATGATGGAACATGCCCTGCCGCTGTATCCTGTACTAGGGTGCAAGATCTGTGTTAGTGTCTACAGTGAGCAAGTCTGTAGAACTTGCTAGCTGCCTGCTTATTCTCCTTCGTTGTCTCTACTTTTCTCCAGTGATTCCATGTCCTTTGGGCTAAACCTTGGCATCCAAGACTTTCAGAATAAGTTGATTCTTAGGACAGTATCTCAACAGTTTTCCACAATTTGCTGAGTTTCATCTTGGGCAGAAAATAATCTGTTTATTATGTTTTTTTCTTTCTTCCTAGCTGCATACATTCAGAGTTGAGATTGCCTTATCTAGCCTAGATGTTAGTTTTGCGGTGTCTTTTTAAATTGAAAGGTGTTCTTTTAGTTTCAGTTCAAAGGACAAAAATGTTTCTTTATATTTCTGCCTGTGACAGAAAGATCTAAGAGGCAGGAGCTTGAAAAGGGAGGTTTACCCCGGTAAGTGATTGCGTTAGAATGCACGTGAAACAGTTAAACAGTTATTTTGGTGACCTTTCTTGCATGCTCCACTGTTAGCTTCTCTCGGGAACCTTTCTTTCCTTAGAAGGTGCGCAGACAGCAACTTCTTTCACTTTCTTCAAGCACTAAGCTCTCTCTGAAATATCTCAGTATGATGCCAAGTACTTCAGGATCATATTCCAGATTAACTGCCAAGGTGCTACTTGAAGCCACTGACAATTTGGATGAATGTATATAGGCAAGGACTTAGCTGAGAGGTATGTTATTGAACTAGACTCTCTACAGGCTCTCCTTAGAGTTGTGCTGCATGTATGTACATCAGACTCTACGTTTCCTATCACTCTGTCTAGAAATCCTTGAAGTATTTGGGGTTAAGAGATACAGTGAGCCTCTTCTTCTGTTTGTGGCTGTGTATGTGATTTATGGTGGGCACAGTTTAGATGTGAGGGCAAAACTGTGTTCTTAAATACTTTAGCATAGTTATGCCCGTGGTGTGGTAGTACACGATAGGTCATCTCAATTTTTTGTAGGTAAGTAATTTTTTTAAACAAACAGAATGACAAACTATTTCCTAAGAGCAGGTAAGCTGGCCTTGACATTTAGAAAATGAAGGTACTATTCTCTCCCAGCGTAGTGGTATCTTCAGAGGAATGGTAAATATTGTTGGTGAGGGTTTTTTTTTTGGTGTGTCTGGGGGGAGGGGGCTAAGTGGGGTGGTAAATTTCCACTGACAGTGTAACTGTACTTTTCAAAATCTGGGCGTTATCTGTGAGTGAAGGTGATGCAGATGTTCTGGGAAACATGATCTGATGAACTAGAAGTGAAGAGGTAACATCTTGCCCATGTGGTCATCTCTCTAGATGGAGAAACAATGGAACAAACCAATTGTCTTTGATCAACTTCACAATAGCTTGAGGAAGGTTTTATGAGTGAAATGTCAGGTCTGATCTTATTTTTTTTTTTCTTTTGGTGCTTTTATCTTGTGAATCTTTTTTACTTCGCAGCCTTCATGCTGCTATAAGACCTGTTTGGTCGAAAGAATAACAGGTACATGTGTGAGAAAGATCTGAAGGTAGGTTTAAAATGCTGTGTTTTCAAGTGATGCTTAATTAGGTTGGAGAAGAGTTATGTCAGTTGTAAAATGTGCATTGTTAAAGAAGGGAGAAACAACATATACAAAAGGTAAAGCAGCAGAGGGGAATAGGAAAACTTTGGTTAATTAACCTAGCTGATTGCGGGGATGATCCAGTCATTTTAGAGCATAAAGCTTAACCACGTGGCAGAGATCAAGTTGAGCAGTGTGACACCTCTGTTCCATTCTTTGGCTACAGCAGGAGGTGAACAGAGAAATGTCAGACCTACATTTAACAAACACAGGGAAGACACCAGTGTAATAAAGGGGAGTAACTGTCTTTCGTGCATATGAGAAGTAATAATGGTTATTCTCGAAATAGACTATGAAGCTGATGTGGAAAACGTTCAGTACTTCATAAGCCATTCATTCACCTTTCATGATCAAAGCCCTGCAGAAAGCCCAAATTGAATTACAGATTGCTGATTTTGTGTAATTTATTATCCTCTTACTGAGTCAAAATAAGAAATATGAAACTGGTTTACGTTACCAGTGCCTATTTTTGATAGGTATGACAGTTTTGCGCATTTTCTGCTTCGTCTTTTGATCTGGTGTAGGATCTGATAGCTTTCTTGGCATTAGACTTGACTTCCTGTTTGTCCTGTTGCTTGCCAAGAAAGATATTTTTTCCTAAATTCTGAAAATGCCTTCCCTACTGTCCATCAGTATCTGCCTGTGTGGGCACTGGAAGGACAGAGATGCTAAGTAAAGGACTCCATTGTGTTCCAATTTGACTAAATATATCCTCGCTTTTTGTGTTATGTCAAAAATGGTTTGTTGTGGCAGAAGCCGCCAGCTCTTCTGTGAATTCAGGTCTCACTGAAAAACTGCATAGTAAGTACTGAAAGGTGAGTCCTGACTCAGCAGTGGCTTCTTTCTGAGTGCAGTCCTGGGCCCCAAATGGAACTTCACTGACTTTGGGGCCAGTTCAGATGCGTGGAGGCTCCTGATTCTTCCTTTGCAGAATTGGGACTCATTCTTGAGGACACCTCAAGAAATACTTAATGTTTGGTATTTTCATTTTAAACAGTAACTTAGAGGTAAGGTGTAAAAATGACTTCCTATTCCCTTTAAAAAGTACTTTTAAAACGATAGCTGAGTTATGTGCTTAACGTAAGTCACCACAGATATACAATAAGCATATTAATAAGCTCATACAAGATGAACATGTTGTCTTTCAGTGAAGGCCAGTGTATCAGGGTGAGGGCCGACCAGTTTCGTAGCTTTGATGGAGAATCACAGAAATTTCTCTAGCTCTAAACTAACAATCTGCATGGGTCAGTCTCAACCTGAATTTGCAGTACAGGGGGGAGTAACAAGCAGAATATGTACCTTCCTGAGTGTTTCGATTCGCTGGGCCAGTTTAAGTGGCATGGTGCTCTCCTAGAATGAGAAAGCTTGGCGTTTGGGCAGTGTTCACAGTGGCTCCCAAGATGGTAGTTCAGCTGCTCTTGAGTGTGTCTGGGATTTGTGGAAAGGAATGAATTGCAATTAACAAACATGGGAAATTAGTCTTCAGCTTACAAGTAAAGCTGAGAGGAAATACAGGATATGGAGGTTTTGGGTCATTATATTGTTGATGGTGTTTTAGTTAAATATGATGAATGTTCACATTTTCCTCATTGCAATTGCATCAAAAGCCCAAATATATCCAAAATATAACCCAAATATATATTAATTTCCAAAACTTCTTTATTGCATAGAACATAAATGAAATGGCCACGCTGTTTTAATTCAGAGTCAGAAAACAAAGTCCCCTTATACTCCTATCTTATATTTTGGCATTCATATTTCCATCAGATGGATTTCTTTAGTTACACTTTTTTTGCAAATAGAGATGCCTTCTAAAATATAATAGACTGAATGCCTTTAGTTTCGTTTAATTTGCATTTGTATGTATCTGTGTGTTCTAAAAAGTTGTTCTGCTGGTTTGTATTTTAGATAACACTTGTATTTATCCTGACTGCAGATATCCTGATGCTACAAATTATGCAGTGTATCTATTTTGGAGCAATGTAAATGTAAAGGCATACATTTGACAGTCTTGGTGTGTTTTCATAACTTAAATGATGATGCTGTCCTCTTAGTAGTAGTTAAAGCAGAAGATTAAATGGTTTAATCATTACTTTTTTAACTAAAGAAAGGCATTGTTTCTGTATTGTAGCACTTTTCTAGACCCTGAAACTCGAAGAGCGATGGGAGAACAAGCAGTAGCTCTTGCCAAAGCAGTAAAATATTCCTCTGCTGGAACAGTAGAATTCCTTGTGGACTCGAGTAAGAATTTCTACTTCTTGGAAATGAATACTAGACTTCAGGTAAGAAAAACAGCTCTACAGATTCAGAAAAGTGTTATTTAAAAAAACAGAACATAACCTTCCATACTTAGGGAGGGGTATGCTCCTGCAAGGACTTACACGTAACTAATGTGATGCATGTGAGCACTCCCCGCAGAACTTAAAAGTATCTATTCCCTTAAATAAGCCTCCATATCCAAGACGTTGCAGCAGCGAGCCCTTGCACAGCACTCAAGTAAGCCTTCAGAGCTTTTGCTCTTTGTTACACTTGACCTAAAGACCTTGCAAGAGGTCACTGTTAAGTGCCACTGTGAGTTCACAGTAAGTGGCTAGCCACTGTGCTCTGATGCTTTTCCCCACCGGTCCCTGAAGTTTCTTTTTCATTTTTTTTTTTTTCTACTTTGATGACCGCTCGCTGAGTTTCTCTAGGAGGGCGATTAAAACTATATGTGTATCAGCAATAAAACCACCAGCAATCTGCCTACGATTGGGATTGCGACTGGAATGCAGCTGCGTAGAAAGCATGCTGACGTGTAGGGGTTTTGTAACATCTCGTGGTCAGTAGTAGGTGTTATAATGTATGCTGCAAATGAATGGACAAAGAGTGTTTTATGGAAACCTCCCTCTACCTCATATTTCACTGTTATAATCAGTTTCTGGTCATAATCTAAGAAAACAGACACGTCACTTGAAGTCATTCTCAAAGACAGGAAGAAGGTTCAGTCTGTAAGAAAGTAAATTCCATCATCTTCACCCTCCTATCCTCTCTTTGTTCAGTAATGCCAGAAAGACTGAGATGTAGAATCAAGCAACAGTGTGATTTTTCATTAGGGTTGTGTCCTGGCTGCTGCCTGTACGTGTCGGCAGTGATGGAGCATAAAGAGATCCTTGTAATTCTGACACCTTTGCATGGCTTTGTTATAACATCTGCATCAAATTATGCTTTAGGTAAAGAAGAGAAAGAGGATTTGGGGTCTGAAGGGGAAACAAGGATGATGCCATCTTTCCCTGTGCCAGGGAGGACTGCCTATAAAATTTGCCTTGCCCTGCAGGGCAGCAGTGTTTTTGGAATTAGTCACAACAGTTACACCTCACATGCTTTTGCTAGGAGTTTGCTAGGCACAATCCGGTCTACCTTGGATTCAGTCAGAGAGGGTGATGGTTAGTGGCAATGTATAGTTCATTAAAATATTATAAAGAGTTTGTCTCTTTGGTCATATTTTTTACATTTTTCCCAATCTTGTCGTTTTTGAGAGAACACTTCTTAGTGACTTTTCATGTTCTTGTTTGCATAGAAGAAACTTAATTTATGTTTTTCAGCATAACCCACCAGCAGTTCAAAACCATTTCCTTGCTGCAGCATGTTATTGTCTGTCAATTCCTAAATGGAATTGGTGATGGAGTACGCTTGGAATTGATTCTTTTTGCAATTTGTTTTAAGATGTTACCTTTGCTCTGTTGTGGTGTCTTCCCCCTGCAGTGCATAGTGGTAAGCGTTTGAAGGCCCAAACCTCCAACTTCCTTACTTGCAGAGGTCTCCACATATGGAGTAAGAAAGAAAGCTTTCACAGTTGGAACATCTTTGTGGGCTTTAAAGGCTCCATTTGAAATACAGCCCAAGCAGTTTGACAATCCCCTGTAATAGCAGACTCATGCTTTCCAACTCTTAAAGAAATTTACTAATCGTAAATTACAGTGCTTGTGTAGATATTCTCTAATTCCTCTATCCTGGCTCTGTATTGTCTCTAATTAGCATTTCACCTTGAGGCTGGAGAGTGGTAATTTTCTCTGATTCTTCCCTGGGCTTACCCGATCAATCTGTCACTTCTCGCAGGTTTCAGGCTTTACTTTCTCTTCAGCTAACGGTTATGCAACCTAGCATCTTGTTCTTGCTCCCTTCTATTAAGATCCAAACATAGGAACTCTAATGAAGCTTGTCCAAATTTAACTTCAGAACTAGGAGAGTCTCCAGATGTCCCTGTATTCCTTCAGCCTTTTCCTTTTGCCACCTCTGACTGTGAACAGTGGCTAACAGGCTCACTTGCCCTGTTCTTGCTTAACACTCCACAGTTGGAAGAACTTTACTGAATGATGGACATCTGATCCATAAATAATGTTCCTAGGGTCTTTGTCAGTGTGCATTACAGACACAGCTGCCTGTCAGCATCCTCAGAACGTGTCTGGTAATTATGCAATTTCCTCTGTCTGTTTTAACATTTTTGCGATCTCTGTGATCAGATCACTAGCCTTCTTTCCTTAGGTACAGGCTTCAGAATGTACTTCCGTAAAGCTGACTAAATGGTGTCCAACACTTTGCACTGCCTGCTGGTTTCTTCCCTCCTGCCCTTCAGTGTATCTGTCAGATATCTTCCAGTGTTTTTTAAAAATAATTTTGCAGTCATTGAGACTTGTATTATTATTTGACTGTCTTTTGGGGGAACTCTTTGGGAATATATATTTCCTGCTATATAGTTCTGCAAAAAAAGTGTAAGTGGCACCTTACAGGAAGTTTATATTTTGTGTGAAGTGTTGCTGCAATAAAATGAGGTTTGAAAGTGAAAGAAGTTGGTGAATCAGCTCCATTGTCTCTCTTGTACACTACACAAATCTGTTACAGATGTTTCACTCCCTCCAAGTGAATTCAGCTAGAATGATTTATTCTTTGCTGTTGGCAATGTACTTTTTGTTGTATCTGCTGCTCTGCCATCTCTCAGAGGGTAGTCGATAAGCACGAGACATGAGATTGGAGAATTGCATAGCAAAAGTAGTTATTCTTGCTTTTCACAAGAAAACATAGAAGTGTCTGCCCTAACAGTTACAAGAGAACTTCTCTACCTTGTCATTTAGGGCGCTTCTGGAGTGGTTTTTGGTAGCTACCACTGTTAGGATTCTTGAGCCAAACAAGAGCTTTGAAATAAATAAAAAGTTTCTGCCTCCTTGGATAGCCTTTTAAACTTCTGAATTGTGCCAAAATCTCCGCATCACGCTACCATCGGAAACGCTGGCTTTCTCCGGGAAAGTCTCTTCTGCTTTTCACGGGAAGGCTAGAAATGTTCCTCTTGGGCTCTGTTTGAGCAAAATCTACAGGCTGTAAGTAAAGAATATCTGTTAATAGTTGTGTGCAATGTGGTCAAGCTTCTTACATGTGAATCAGTTGGTGACAGCAGAGGGAAAATATCACGTAGAATAACTGTTTTACCTTGAAATGAGCATCCCTCGTTGGCTTGAGGACAGCTGAGGAAAGTGCAATGCACAGTGTGAAGCGAGTATTTACCCTGAACACAGTTTGTACGACTCTGTCTTGGGTGTCTGCTCCTGACCTTCTGCCTCCCTCGTGCATTGTGATATTTAAATAACAAGTAAGCACTGCCTTCCTCCTTAAACGTGGCCAAATCTGCTTAGAGGAACCTGATTGAAGAGATCATTTGTATGGACTGTGTTCAGCATGGTTCAGTTACAAATTCGGTATTTTGAGTAGCAGTATGTTTTCTCCTCACGTGACGGGTGGATTTTTTTTTTGTCACAACTTTTTAAGGCATAAAAGTTAATTTTGTAGGATAGTCTGTTGATATGTCTACAAGAGATTTATTGAAAGTAAATGGCATATCTGCATGTTTTTGTTTTACAGTTAATTGTAGTGAGTATTTTATGTAAATGGTTTCATCCTCTTTTGAAGTAACTTGATTCTAAGGCGTAAGGCGAATGTATATAAGCTGCCACACACCCATGAAACATTACCCAGTGCTAAGATTTTTCTTCATCGCTTTCAGCGTTCTCATCAGATTTTACTGCCCCCTGGAAAATGTTATATTCCAGAGCTTTGTCTTTGTGCAAGATGGGCCGTGCCTGGTGTGAAAGACAGAGGAAGAATTCTTACATGTGTCTTTCGACCTCCCTTTTCCATCTGTTTTGTCCACTCCTGAAAGTTACAAAAAGCATGGTTGGGAAATGTCTAGAAGTGTAGAAAACCCGTTGTCTGGAGCTCTCCTGCTTATGAATTCCTGGGTTCTTACAGTCCCCTTAGTGGTACCTGTATTCTGCTGCACATCATTAGGCAAGCACCTGCTATGTGTTTGCTCGGCGAAGGAGGGGAGTGCTGGAAAACGCTGCAGCTGTGCTACATCAACAGTAGCAGCAAAATCTAAAGAGCAGAGTGACGAGCCGAGTCTGGATCCTGGCTAAATCGGCAAGGGGAGGGGGCGACTTTGGCATCTGTAGCAGCCCCGCGGGACGGCAGGAGGTGGTTTTGTTGCCTTGGTGCGTGGAACGGCCTGGAGGATGATAGGTGGGCAGAAGTGTGGGAGCAGGGAAAAGGGGCTGTCAGGAGGTAGAGGGGTAGATTTCCACAAAGTCTGAATGGCGGGATTTCAAAGTGAAGTCTCAAGCGACTGTTTCTGCTGTTTGCTGAGGCTCTTCATATTTCTTAATGCCGGAATCTTGTTTTACTGTGACACTTTGCTTCAGTCATTTTAAATAGGCTAACGAACAGTGTCAGATGGTAAAGACTTTCAATTGCTCCTAACCTGGGCTGAATTTGAACTACTGACCTAAAGGTGAAAGGTCTCTTATCCCATTACCAATCCCCTAAGCCCACCAGAATCCATTCTGCACACAGTTTATACCAGCTGTTCATGGCCACATTTAGAACCGAAAGAAAAGGTGATTTTGCTGCCAAACAACACTTCTTCACACAAGAGGGTCAGCCGACAACAGTTAACCAGATTTTTGCCACATTCTTGCCTCCTAATGCAACTTCCATTATGTAGCTACTGGTTGTCTGCTTTTCAGGCTTCCCAAAAGAACTACAGAAAAGCATTGCTAATTGTTGTTGACAGAAGAGAACGACATTGTTTGTATAAGTCATTGAATCTGAAAGATGCCATTAACAGTGCTGCCAGGGCACGGAGTGATATCTTAGAGACAACGTTACGGCAGACCCATCATCAAATACTATTTAAAGAAGTAGAGAAAAAGGCGGCTTCCCTCCATTTTTAATAAGTAGAGGAGAAACAAAAGGTCTT